TAAAAAAAATAAAAGTTCAAATAAAAAAGTAACTCTAAGTAATTAACACATCACCATCTAGTCTCACGGTAAGGAGAGACATAACCGACATACGCGACAACGTCGCCTGAGGCACGTTTTTATTGAACCCGACTACCCCATAACGGTAGTTCACCTCCCTACGGGTACACCTGTTCCGTCCCGACCACATTTTTAGACACACACACGACACCGTCCTCGCCGGCGAAGACGACGACCCCAAACACACCATATCGCGCAATCAACCGGGCGCCCGGGCGCTCCACATCAGTGCCCCCGGTCGCACCTCCGATCAATCACCCGTTCAATTCAAAGTTTCGGCACTCAATCTACTATGCAAATACGTTTATTTGTATATTTATATAACAACTGTTTGTTGCCAAGATAAAGAGAAAAAAAATACATTTATATGGGACTCACATCATCACTGGTGGGGTCAAGTGACTGCTTGTACCTCGCACGGGGCTGCCACCGCTCGTACTGGGACTGCAGCGCGTGTCCGATGCTCTCCAGCGCCTTGCTTGGTGATAGCGAGTTTGGGTCTAGAAGAAAATCATCATCAGTTCAAGGTATAGGTATATCTTCGTAATCATGTTCTTTCTCTTATTTCTTAACATTTGGTGTTGGTAATATCTTACTCTTCTATTCATCTCTGGTCTCAGTTTTTAATATCTTCCTTGCTACATAGTCTTTCACACCATCTGTTGCTGGCAACTTGTCTAACTATGGGACACAGTTACCTAGATACATCAATATAATAATTGCATTTAATAATGTCTAGTAAGATAAATCCAATATTTTGTACTGAGCACTGCTGTGTCTAAACTGTGTCGCCCCACCTTACATTTTCCTATTGTCATTTAGTATATAAGATCAATATTTCTATGTACCTATTGTCAGTCAATTGACGACCTAGGTGGTCTAGCGGTCAAGCACACCGCTTTACGTCCGATGGTCGCGGGTTCGATTCCTCGCACGGCACAAACATTTGTATTCATGAATATGATTGTTTGTATCGGTCTGGGTATTTTCTATGTATAATATGTATGTATTTACGAAAAAAAAAAAAAAATTCTATGTATTTGTATCAGTTGTCAAGTACCCATAACACAAGCTTTAGGTAGCTTAATTTGGGTCTAGATGGCGCAGTGTGAATTGTACAGAGATTATTTATTTATCTCGAATATAAATATATAGATTAAAAAAAAAAAAAGTCAATTATCATCTGTAATATACATCGTCTCTACCAGTAACATAGTATCATTTACCCGCAACATCTACCATTGTTTGTATAAACTTTATATTTTTGATATCAATTTTTTTATATGTCACTTTTTACTGTGTTGTTACTTTCCTCTTGCCTCTCCTTTTGGGAAATATACACTTTTATTACAATTATTTGATTTTTAATTACAATAGTTGTTGTATTCTCGCTACAGTCACACAATCCATCCATCTCTTTCTAAGTTTCCTTTCATATTTAAAAGATTCTCTTCATTCCTACGATTACCAACCTGGCAGGTAGCTGATGTAATTAAGGCTACTTTTATTTTAGAAAAACAATGATCTGTCCGTCCCTATGTATGCTTAAATCTTTAAAACTACGTAACGAATTTTGAAGCGGCTTTCTTAATAGATAGAGAGATTCAAGTGGAAGGTTTATATATAATACATAATACATGTACATCCATGCGAAGCTGAGGCGTATACTAGTTGTGCAAAAACAAAATTACAAAAATTAATTTAACATAAAAATATGTTAACAAAACGGCGGCCTTATCGCTCAACGCAATGTCTTACAGACAGCTAAAACATACTTCTTGAAAGTTCACGTAACAATTTCTTATCAACGTATTTTTAATCTGTTCAACGAGAGACAAAGTCTGCCCTCTGACCTCGTGGTCTCAAACATTGTGAACAATAAAGGTCGGGATCCACAGAAACTGTGGCCAAAGATTTATTAAAAACTACACGTTGTACACGCGACTTTGTCCGCATGGAATTTTACTTTATTTTTTATTAATAAAAGTAGCCTAAGTTATATTATTACATCAGCTACCTGCCAAAAAAATCCCGTCAAAATCGGTCCAGCCATTTCACAGATTAGCCGGAACAAACAGACAGACAGACAGAGAGACAAAAAATGTAAAAAATGTTATTTTGGTGTATGTACCGTATCTATATTCATATGCATGTAGTAAAAAACGGTTATTTCAATATTACAAACAGACACTCTAATTTTATTTATATGTAGATAAGACTACTCAAAAGTGCTAGTATTGATTTTATTTGAATAAAGATTATTTCTATTTCTATTATGAAAATAAAGTTAGCTTCCACGCGGACGAAGTCTACTATCCTAGACCCTCCGTCTAGGCTAGTCTAGCATAAGACTATAAAAGTGTTTGTATTGAGTTTATTTGAATAATTATTATTTCTATTTCTATTATTATTCTCATTGGTGTGTTCATAGGATGTGACGATTGTTGTAATTTCATATTTAAGTGCGCAGAATTAGGTAATTCCAAACTATAAATAGATACTAGAGCAGACGATGACTCGTTATGCAAATCTGATTTATACCAATACCGACGCAGTAAGCACTACAACCATTCAATGTTCACTCAGTGAGGTTTCAGAGGAGCTTCCTCCAGCATACACTTAGATTGTGAATTGAACTTCCTGCCTAATTTTCTCAGGAGACTACAGCCTCTCCGATCGATCCCCCGTACCATTCAAACGGGGATCGATATTACGACGGCCTGAGCCGAAGTTCGAACCCTTAGCGGTGCCGTCAGACTAAAGTCGTATCCGTCAGGCGGGAGTTGGCCTTCAGCCGCTCCATAAGTCCTTCCTTTAGTTTGGAGGGCCATCTGCACTCGCCCCCTATCATCAGGTGAAGTTGTAAAGGCCAGCTGCAGTCAACAGCATTAGAGAACTCCGAAAAAAAAGAGACTACAGCATGGGGTTTTCCAAGGGTATATTAAGATTTCTTAAGGGTTCACGTGACACCCCTATTGTTTTAGGCGTCCATAGGACGACGATAGATGGGCCGTATGCTTGTTTGCCACCATAGTAGTATAAAAAAAACTTAGGCTACTTTTATTTTAGAAAAATAAGTTAAATTCCACGCGGACCAAGTCTACTAGCCTAGACCCCGTCTGGGCTAGTCTACCATAAAACTAATAAACTCAATACAAGCACTTTTGAATAGTCTACCATAAGACTATTCAAAAGTGCTTGTATTGAGTTTATTTGAATAATTATTATTTCTATTTCTATTATTATTCTCATTGATATGTTCATAGTGATGTGATGATTGTTGTAATTTCATATTTAAGTGCGCAGAATTAGGTAATTCCAAACTATAAATAGATACTAGAGCAGACGATGACTCGTTATGCAAATCTGATTCATGCCAATACCGACGCAGTAAGCACTACAACCATTCAATGTTCACTCAGACACCTTTTTATGTTAACAAACAGACACCGAAAACTTTGTTTTGGCATATAAATTAATAATCGCTATTAAAAATAGGGTAGAAAGGGTGAAAATCGAAGCTAGTTTTGCTATTAATATCGCTACTAAAAATAGGGGTTGATGGTGGAAGGGTGAAAGTTTATTGTTGCATATGTTTTTATACTAATAACTGGCTACTCGCTTCGCACGAGTGTACATGTATTATATATATAAACATTCCTCTTGAATCACTCTATCTACTAAAAAGAACCGCTTCAAAATCCGTTGCGTACTTTTAAAGATTTAAGCATACATAGGGACAGTCAGCGACAACGTACTTTGTTTTATACTATGTAATGATAATGAAATCAGATAGAACATGTAATAACAGTGCAAACCTGTACTACAGATCTGATGTCTGTATGTTTATAAGTGTGATAATAATCTTTATATTGTAATGGCTTCCCGTAACTGATTCATCTGACAATGCACAGTATAAAAGTCACTCTTTAAACATAAAACTTGGAATGTGCAGTATTAAATTTATTTAAATAAGGAATAGTCATATTCTATACGAGAAATCTTAAAAATATTATAAACGCGAAAGTTTGTGTGTATGGATGGATGGATGTTACACTTATCATTGCCTTTATCCCATTATTTGGGTTTGTTACACTATCACGCAAAAACTTAACGGATTTTGACAAAACTTTATAATAATATCATTTATACATCAGAATAACACATCTTCTATATATATGAGAACGGCTGAACCGATTTGGCTAATTTTAGTCTTGAAATATTCGTGGAAGTACAGGGAAGGTTTAGACGTTGATAAAATATCAAGAAATTGCAGGTAAAACAGAAAAAAAAATTTATATCCCACACAAACTATGAGAACGGCTGAACCGATTTGGCTAATTTTAGTCTTGAAATATTCGTGGAAGTACAGGGAATGTTTAGACGTTGATAAAATATGAAGAAATTGCATGTAAAACAGAAAAAAAAATATCCCACAAACTATGAGAACGGCTGAACCGATTTGGCTAATTTTAGTCTTGAAATATTCGTGGAAGTACAGGGAATGTTTAGACGTTGATAAAATATCAAGAAATTGCATGTAAAACGGTAAAAAAAAATTTATTTTCCCACACAAACAGCGGAATCCTTTCAAACAGGGTGCGTTAAGAAATTTATTGCGTAACTATACTTCAAAAGGCCTTTGACATATTTAATTTTGAGGGTGAACGAAGTTCGTTGGGTTAGCTAGTAGGATATAATTTAAAAAGACATTATGTACACTTTACATGCGAAGTAAATGTCAAGTAAGTGTGAGGCAGACGAAGGTGCGCGGGTCAGCTAGTATCAAACATAGTAAAATTGCAATCTGCTAAAAAACCTAATAGTAAATTCGCATGAGAGCTGGCGAAAGCAGTTTTGTATGGATGATATAATGTGAATTTCATAGTAAATGTACAATGAAGTACTTGATTTTCCTATGAATACAAATTACTATGACGAATTTATACTTTACAATATTTTTTGGTTCCTTTGTAATACTCAATCTGTAAATGTACTATAATTGATTGATTACATGGTAAATTAAGTAAAAAAAAATACTGAGCAAAGCCTATTACTCACTAAACGATTACTTGAATGACGAGCATGTATGGCAATAGTTGTTCATACACGGGATTTTCATTTAATGTTAGACATAGACACCTATATAAATATACATTGTAAATAAACTGACTTTTAAAAAGATTCTCAATTTGATCGATATACTGAAGTGGACGGTAGGGAAAAATACATTATAAACTGGCTTTTAAAAAAAAATTTTGTTGAGTTTCTTGCCAGTACTTCAAAATCAGTATTTAATTCAAATTTAAATTAAAAAATAATTTATTAATGTAGGATGTTTTAGGCGCTTATGAACGTCAAATTTTTTCCCTACTATCCAGTTCAGTATATAGATCCAAATTGAGAAGAACTGGCAAGAAACTCAATTGAATTACTCTTTTTTAAAGCTAGTTTATTTACAATGTATATTTCCATAGGTGTCTATGTCTAACATTAAATGAAAATCCCATGCATGAACAACTATTGCCATGCAGGATAAAACAGTGGTGTTCAGTTGTTGATCTGTCATTCTTCAAATACACACACATACATTCCTTCTTGTGTCACATGTATTTACACAAAGAGTATCTAGTAGTGGTTACGTAAAATATATGAAATCAAGTTGTACATAAGCTACGGTACCCATTTTCTGTCAGATGCGCCATATGCTTCCATCATTGTAGTATAAAAAAAAACATAGTGGCATACCTATCCAACATTCGAGGCGGGCACAGGGCTGAGTTTTCACCACATCTGGAGGGTCCACTCCGACATTGAGGCACAGCACTAAGGCTACGCAGTGTGTTTTGTACTGAAACAATAACAGTTTATTAATAAATAATCCTGGACATGTCAGAAAGTGCTATCCAGTCTTATAATAAGCAGAATTTATATTAAGGATAGCTCTACCCATGACTTCATCCATGTAGAATTTATTGTGACTTTATTTTCCTAAAATAAAAGTAGCATAAGTTACTACTTATTACATCAGCTACCTGCCAAAAAAGTTACGTCAAAATCGGACCAGCCATTTCAGAGATTAGCCGGAACAAACAGACAAATAGTCAAAAATATTAATATTTGTTGCAAAGAGATAGATAGCTGTCTAGTATCTATACATATAAATAAAATTGGAGTATCTGTTTGTAATATTGAAATAACCATTTTTTACTACATGCATATGAATATAAATACGGTACATACACCAAAATAACATTTTTTTACAATTTTATCTGTCTGCTTGTTCTGGCTAATCTATGAAATGGCTCAACCGATTTTGATGGGACTATAAGTAATAAGGAGTAACTTAGGCTACTTATATTTTAGAAAAACATTTCATTTTAGAAAAGTAATGTTGCAAAATTCCATGCGGACAAAGTAGAATATACAGCTAGTATGAAATAAAAATGGGTGATCGTAAATGGATAACAGATAAGAAAACTACTTCTAATATAACTGTTGACAACAAGTATCTCAGAATTTTGTTTCCACAGACAACTGGTGATGTTTACTTCAGTAGATACTATCATACCCTATTATTAATACAATCTATTTTCATGTCAAATTTAATTATGATTCATTCATTCATTAGTTCTAACAAACAGACACATTTTCATATTTACAATATTACTATTGATTTCTAATACAACAAATCAACTAAATTATAAATTTCAATGAAATCATAGCAAATAGGATATGGAGCCTATTTTTAAAGTTAACATTATTTAAAAAAAAAATAGTTTTACATAATTATTTCAATAAAAGACAATAAATAATTTTTCAAATATGGCTGTAAACATATTGCATTAAGATGATCTTCAAGAACATATAGTCTATGGATTTAGGCATGAATTGGCTATGGCAGCAGTTCTTCTCGTTCTCAAGGAGACTATTTCTTTGCTACAGACAATATGCAATAAAAGCATGCAAATCTATTTGACTGGATAAATTCTATGTCCCTTGCATAGAATGTTTGTTTTAAGGGAAAATTTAAAATATCTAATCTAAAAATGTAATTAAACACATTGCAGGTAGTAATTATGTGTTGTAATTAGATTCATACTAACAAAAAAAAAACATGTATAAATGTCAAAAACGAGATACAAAAATGTTAAAAAAAAATGTAAACAAATCGAATTTCAAATAAGATATTATTTTCGCACTGTGTTCGTTTAGAATCAGTTTTGGGATGTAGTTTATATCGTAATGACATTATTTACGAGCCATGTGCGTTTGTTTTCATCTGAACGGACGTACGTACGTACGCTGTAACATACGCAGTTAGGACGCGTAAGTTTCTTCACAGATAACAACCTCTCACCTTCTCTTTGACCCGCCAGGAGTGTTCCACACGGTCCGCACCTTTTATCTGCTCAATATGCCTAGGCTTGTTGAAACACAGAGGTAAATCCCAGTCATCTACCTCCGAAGACGTTTCACTATCACTATTCTCATCCTCATCTTTGGCCGCGAGGTAAGGAGGCATATCTGTCATTTTCACTCAACACTTTATCACTCTCTCCTCAATTTTAAACCGTTCAACGTACACCAACACTATATGAAAACATTTTTAAAACTTCGTAGACACCAACATCATGTGTGCGTCCATTTTCAGATACCACATGGGGAATTGGTGTTGCCAAATACCAGATGTGACATTACCGTCGAAATTTTGTGATAAAAATAAGAGATGTTTTACACCCATATCTGGGCGTGACCTTATGTTATAAGAATTGCATGTATAATTTAGCCACTATTTTCTACATAAATATGTAATTAAAATAAAATGTTGTTATTTTTGCCATATGCGTAATAACTAATAAAGAGCGGTGAATAATATTATTTGTATCTCTATCATAATCATAATAAATGCAAGTATCAATAAGTTAATGTGGTAAAAATAATGTAAAAGAAGACGGTGGTTGCCGCGGTGGCATGTTGATAAAAGTATATAATTTTGTGAAAATACATATCCAATTGTTTTCACGTTACAATGTTGTAGAAATCCAACAAAATTTTAAATGATTTTCTTCAATAAACGTTTAAAATATATTCATTTCATCGCTATTACAGGGAATAAATTCCCCAAATTTTGGGATTTTCCTCTCAATTTAGCATAATTTCGGGGAATAAACAATACATAGATATTGCGTTTCGTTACATGCACAAATATGCGTGGAACGAAACGCAATATCTATCGTTAACTTGTTAATAACGAAAACATCAAGAATATTATAATAATGATTTATGTAATATATGTATTTTGTTTAAAGGATAAATATTCATTGATTTTAGTAATTACCCAGTATTTCCTATAATTATTTGCTTTAATATTATTGTATAATATTTTTTATTATACATGTTGAATAAATCCCAAAACTTATAATTAATTACATTAATAATTACATGGTAATATTATAATTATTGTATAATGTCTATGGTATGTTATTAACTGCCCCTCCATTACGCAAATAATCATAACTCACATTATTTTTAATAATAAATATTGACACTATATTTATAACGCCGTCGGTGGTGTAGCGGTTTACCACTCTAATTTAATTTCGATGATCGCGGGCTTGATTCCTCGTATGGCACAACAACATCAGTTGACTGGTAGCAATAGCTCAAGCTCTGCTTTAGAACTAGATGGCGCTGTGCGAGTTGTCCTGAGATATTAATATTTTTAAGAAATTTAGAGACGACTTTAAAATATCATTTAACATTATTTACGCCATCTATTGTCAAGTAGAGTTAACTAGTGACACCAATAGTTTTTTAATCAAAATAAGTGATCAAATGACGGATTGGTGTTTGTCTGTAGCACAGATAACATAATATTACATACTGTAGTAACGATATACTGGTGGGGCAGCAGTGGATGATATTTGAAGACATTAGTTTAGTTTATGCGATATTAGCTCATGGTGACAAATTAAGTAGTAAATTGATTACAATAGTTTCTCTGACCGCATAGGGGTCGATTTAACATGGAACAATGCTAGCAAAGGTGGCCCCTTTAGTAAGTCTCCCTAGTCCTCTAGTCTCATAATTGTTATATACTAGCTGTTCCCGCGACTTCGTCCGCGTGGAATTTAATCTAATTTTTCTAAAATAAAATTTACCTAAGTTACTCATTACATCAGCTACCTGCCAAAAAAAGTCCCGTCAAAATCGGTCCAGCTATTTCAGAGATTAGCCTGAACAGACAGACAGACAAAAATTGTAAAAAATGTTAATTTGGTGTATGTACTGTATTTATATTCATATGCATGTAATAAAAAATGGTTATTTCAATATTACAAACAGACACTCCAATTTTATTGGTTTAGAGATTACGGATGTTGCCTCGGTTTTAGAATAATGCAAACTAGGCCACTTACCGCCACTTCACGCTTCATGTGCTGTGTCACCATAACATATAACTAATATAAATGAAATATAAACCTTTTGTTAATTATTTATTCTGATTTGGAGGTATTGTATAAATGAGTTGGTTAATACATGATTCCTACTTGCATGGTCACTCTCATACAAGGAAAAAACAATACAAGCTAATTGATTTAAAGCACCATAGTGATAATATAAAAAACAGTTAATTAATATATTCACATTGAATTACATATACAATTTATAGGTACAGAAATACTTATTGTTACTATACACAAACATTGAGCTTCGTCAAGTGGGGTCACATTTTGACTGCATTGCACACTGTACAGTAGTTACACTGCACACCGTCCGGCAGACACTCTATGTGGAACGAGTGCCTGCAGTTGTACACCTTCAAGTCCGAGGCGTTTGACAAGTCTTTAATTATAATTCGGCCCTGACACACACAGCACAGAAAGTCATCCGTCACAGAAATACCCCTCTGTTGGCCAATTATAAGCTTCTGATGCAGATCGAAGTAATTCTTGAGTGTGATCACCTTGCATGCCTCCTGCACAGACAGCTGCAGTCGGTAATCACACATCATCTTCGCCAGAGAGTCCTTCAGATCCTTTATTTCGCAACCTGGCTTTATATTTTGGATAAGCATCCTGGGATCCACATAGTTTCCTATTCTCTTGAGGAGTAAGGACACATATTCAGGTTTATCTACAGTTTTGTTTATCAGATCTGTCCATAGCTCCTTGTCATTGTGTTCCTGACAAAAGTCTATGGCTTGCCTAATATCATGTAGTTGTTCAATTATGATCTGTAGTGCTTCCCTCGTGTTACCGATACGGCCTAACAGGAATACCATTTCTGGGTAGAACTCATTGTCCTGACAGACATCTAGAGCTTCCTGTATGGGATAACTATCACTGCATTTCAGAAATGGTAAGAGTTTCTCTCTCGCAAATTCGGCATACAGTCTTACTAACTTTCCATGGTATTTACCATTTGGTTCTTTTTTACTGTAGGCGACAAGATATTGAAACAATAGAAAATCATGTTTTTCCAGTTGTTTCTCGACAACTTCCACTGGAATTTTGATTTCTAACAGCAATATGATAGCCTTGTTTGAATCAAGGGTCATGAGGTCCAATATTTTGTCATGCAACACATTATACATCTTGTACTGTGTGATAAGTTTGAAGACATCCTTGTGTTGCAATGTTAGATATGTTGTTAGTGCCTTATCATATTTTTTCTGATAACAGTAGAGTAAGGCGAGTGCTTCCAGATACACATTCTTGTCTACTTCCGTAGTCAACAAGTGCTCTAGCACCTGACTGATGATTACACCTATATTATACAGCTTCGGATTCCACTCCTGAACTAACTTTAGAAACCCCTGTGGATCAATATTACGATATTCGTACAGTATCAGTCCATATATATGTGGACTTAATGCCTGGTCTGGGTTCTTAGGGACGTAAGGACTGATCGCCCTCAGCTGGTTCACTTTTGAAAATTTCATTACCTGATTTTCCCACAATACTTTGTCGTTCTTACATATCCTGGCGCACAAGATTGCGGCCTCTTCATACATGTGTTCCATTAACAAATGGTCCAAATACTGTATTCCGACCACCACCACTGAATGTTTAGAAGTCTTGCCACCAACATCTTCTAATACGGACATTGCTTTTTCGTAACGACCATGGTCCGTGAGCCAGTTGATCCTTTCATCGATATCAAATGGACTAGCTACTACAATGTCTTTAGGAGAAACGATGAAGAATCTATTCTCTTCAATGAGCATGTCCAGATAGTAGTCATTGCAAGAATACTCTTCATATCCTCGAATGTTTAAGCAGTCTGTTGATACTTCACAAAACTCACAATCCTTATAGTCAGCAACACTAAGTACTGGCCGTTGAGCCTTCCCAGTTTCAGAATCACATTCTTTCGGTACACCAAGTAACACCAGCTGATCATCGAAAGGTCCCAAGCCACTGATAAAATAGTCAGTTTGAAAAGTATAAACTGGATCCACAAGATATTCCGTCACATCCCGTGTCTGCAGTTCAATCTGACTTCGTTTCCGAATTCTACAAATTCGGATGGTGTCAACCCAACCAATCATAAGTGTGTTTGCTGCCGACCATAGTAGGTTGCAGCGGTAATCCTCTATTGATGTGGCGGAGCTTTTCTCCCACTGAATGAGCCCTAGGGAACATCGTGCCTGAAGATCGTAAACTCTAACACCAACCTCGCTGGCCCACGCTACAAATCTCTCATGCCATGCTATAGCTTGGACATTTCCTTCACATTCAAACAAAACGGTACTACGGAGACGATTCAAAAATGTCTTTTCATATAGGGTCAACTTATTGTCTCCTGAAATTGAAATAATAGGTAAATAGAATATAATTATTAGAATTGATTAACTATAAAAAATATAAGAACTAAATAACAAACAATAATCTTTATCTATGATAAAGAAATTTTGTTTTCTTGCTATTGGTAAATATTTACATCAATGTTTATGTCTGTAATGAACATATATATATTACATATAAGAGTTTTATGATAGAATACCTGTGAGGAATCTTCGACCAGAACCAGACTTGAAATAATAAGGATCTAAGGCTACAGATTTGACCAGTCGTCCTAGAACAAGGCTGTGTGTGTTCTCACTAGTATATAGTCCATGTACGAGGACCTTGCCATCGTCAGAACAACTTGCAATGTAGTCCCCATTCAAATCTACCGATATCTTATTCACTGCGATCGCGTGAGCCTGCAGTTCTTTGTCTTTGCCATCTTGAGATATTGGCACAATGTTGCCTTCGTGGTCGAGCAAGTGTATCACGCCCCACTGAGTACCGAGACAGATAAATTTCGTATGCACACAAATACAGCTTACTGCGTCTTTGAGGAGTATATCTTGGATATCGTTTCCCATCCGATCATATTTGAGTTTTGGCTCCTCGTCTGGAGGCAGGCTGTCGCAGCTCTCCAAATTCAGAGCCATCTTGTTAGTTATCAACGGGCGGCAGTATATAACACAATGATTATTATTTTCACATAATTAATTGTTATAAATAAAATTTATTAATACATTATTAATTATTACATTTTCCTGTGTCAATTTGGCTGAGATGAGTTTGTCAGCTTTGACATTTGATTTGACTTTGAAATTCGAATGGAGAATTGGAAAGGAATGTCAGTTGATTGACATTAGATTGTTACACATCTAATGTCAATCAACTAACGTTCCTTTCCAATGTTATCATAAAACGTTCAAATAAAATTGATATAAATAATATGTTTTTGTGATTATAATACATATATTTTATTTATTGTGACAATGATACTTCAAACAAGATGTGCCAGTACGGCACCTATACTAATTCATATATATTTTTCACAGAATAAATATATTTTTATTACATATTAGGACATTAGCTCCCATTCAATGATGCAATAAATAAATAAACATAAAGTTATTTAACACACATGGATAAATAAATTTATTTATTTATATCAAATTAATATCATAGATAAAGAGAAAATATATAGATGTAATTTTTAGCAATGAAAACTGAACTTATGTTCCTGTGCTTGAAGGCTTGTGTAGTAATTAAAAAAAAAGAAGTGCGCGCCAATTTTTAAATAAAATAATAGAAGGATATGAATTGATGTTACTGATTACCGTTACCGTTAAAATCGCTAGAAATTAGAGAGGAAAATTGACCTACCATTGCCTAGAGAGATTAATAAATTAAATATATATTTTCAGTAGTTATATTCTGCTTCTCTGGCGTCATCTGCTGTGTTAGACTGTACAATTGTTGTTAAATAACATGGATAAATCTAAAAATAAAGAAACGTATCCACACTTTAATATCAAGGAATATGAACGTCAGTTATCGCCATTGGGTAAAAAAGTATTGGGTGTATTAGTAAAACAACGGAATGCAGGTTCTTACTTTTTTTTAATTTATAACGTAGTGTTGTAGACTTTACATGGTCTTTAAACACTCATGTACATATATACCTTCATTTCCCTTTTTGATTTTCATTCCAATTGAATTGTCAGTTTCTAAAGTTTGAATCAATAGCAGTTTTTGAGGTATAATGTTGTTCAAGACGCACGAAACCAAAATAATGTTGAACAAGGAGTTTTTCTATACTACTAGTGATAATTTTAAAAATCTATATTATAAACAGGATAGTTGGGAGAGGAAAGGGGAATGTTAGTAATGTGGACTGATGATCTTATTGCTAGCAATGTACCATGTCAGGTTGACCACGCGGTTCCCCCTGGAAACTATCGTGATAAATTCTTGGTGGATTTGTCACGATGGGCTAACTGACCTGACCTCATGATCATCTTATCATTCTCCACTGGTGCTCCTCCAGCGTACACCAGTAGCACAGGCGGGTGCACCATTCCATTATCATCCATAAAAAATGTTATAAGATATAACACTTGATAATGTTCACTTTTTAGAACGCACCTATAGTTGCAATGGACGTAAACAGCAGCCGACACGCAAGAGAGGAGTCCTATGGTCAGTATCAAGTTGCTTATAACTTCTTCTTTAATTCCTTTACGAACACCGGTAGTACCGCCTTTGGGCTTGGTTACGGGCTTACTCTTATTCTCTATTTCGGCTTCTTTAGTCTTCTTTTTGAGCAATTTTGCTTGTTCTCGCGCTATTAACGCATCAAGAAGATCGGATTTATCGTCCAAAAATGAGCATATAACAGATATGCTCATTTTTGCTCATTCATCGACCAATGTTGATTTTTACGTTGATATTGTTAACTATATTACCTACAGCTTCCGGGATCTACCGATCCCGATATTACAAAAAAATTTTTATTGTAATATTAAATTTAATTTTCAAAGTACGTTCTCTGTATAGATATAACCTTAACTGTGCCAAATTCCATACTCGTGCATCCGCTTAATTTTCGTATAAAGGACTCCACATTTTTGTCTTTATACACTCCGAAATTATTGGACCGATTTGAAAAATTTTACCATTAGAATCCTACATTATCCCTAATGAACAAGTCGATAGAACATTTTCAAAAACGAGACATCAATATCGAACCCCAATTTGCTTGTTACAATTTATAATATGTGATAGTTTCGTTAACTACCCGTTTGAAGGACGGCCCGCTAGTGCTATGATATCTTAATTAGGTAGTTCGTAGTTTAAACACAGTTTTTGAAGCCCGTTCACACAATCAAGAGACTGTAGACGAGGAATTTAATGTAATAAGGCAGAAAAGGTGCTTACAGCTTAAAATTCACGCAACACTCGACAATGTAGCTTATAGTCTTGCAACTAATCGATTTACATAAGCAAAAAAAAGGTAGTCCGTAGTAGTTCTCTGGACGTACTCTATTTCCTGTTCTAATTACAGGTTCAGAGACTCTAACACGCCAAATACGTGGCAAAGTTATGACAAAGAAATGGAAATTTTAACCAATATCGAAAAATCTAATCACTTTAATACTCCCAATAATGCATCAGAGGTATCCACGTCTACAGATCTCGTGCAGACTAGAATTGATGAAGTTGATGATGAATTTGATAAAGTACCGACATCCGATCTAATATCACCCATTGCACATAATGTAGATAATGGTAATGAACTTGATTCAGTACTATCCATTCCACACAATATCGATTTGATTGCTACCAATAAATTCGATGCCAACGAACACGCATGCGTCACGAATATTGCGAGTGATAATGTAAAAAACATTACTTGGAATGACTTTTTCGATACAGAGCTACTTCCAGAACTAGATATTCCTGACAAAACTATTTCGAAACAAAACAATTTAAGCAATTGTACAGATTTTATTATAGAGGTATCATCTGATAGAGATAAGAGCAACCAACATGATAATGACATACAAATTAATAAAAAAATAAAGAAACGCAAAGCAGTAAATAATGTGGATAAAGCTACAACAAAGATTAAGAAAGTAACTGAAAGAAAGCAAAGTTATAAAAAAATTAAATATACTAAAACAGTAAAAAATTGGTTGAATGATATAAATCATAACAATTCAGTTAAAGAACTAAATGAAACATCTAATGATGCTGTTGAAAGAACAGCTTTAGATAATGCAGAGAGTGGATTAGTTACTAAAAATATTTCCAAAAATTCTAATAAGAAGAGACAAATGGTTCAGGCACAGTTGACTAATAAGGATGGGGTAATGAAATTTAAAAAACCTACGGAAACTTGTAACACTGGTAATGGGGAAGCAATGGACGTGTCGAAATTAGAGGGTGTTAAAGAGAGAACGACTAAACCTAAGTTCGTAGTTCCTAAAAAGACGCAGTTACCTGTAGAAGATGTGACATATGATGTAAAAGTTATAGATGGTAACAATGAAAACCTACAGAATATTCCAGACATACATAATGAGGTTTTTGCAACACTGATGTACAGGTAACAATACCTATATATTTACGTACTAGCTGTACTCGATACTTCGTCCGTGTGGAAATTAACTTTATTTTTCTAAAATAAAAGTAGCTTAGTTTACTCCTTATTACATTAGCTACCTGCCAAAAAAAGTCCCGTCAAAATCGGTGCAGCCATTTCAGAGAATAGCCGGAACAAACAGACAGTCAGATAAAAATTGTTAAAAATGTTATTTTGGTGTATATACCGTATTTATATTTATATGAATGTAGTAAAAAACGGTTATTTCAATATTACAAACAGACACTCCAATTTTATTTGTATGTATAGATATTACCGAAATTTTGTGAATATGTATGGATGTTTGTTACTCATTCACGCAAAAAGTACTGAACGGTTTTTGATGAAACGTTACTGTAGTATAACTTGTACATCAGAATAACATATGGGCTATAAATGCGCGGGTGAAACCGCGGCACAGCTAGTAGTCGTGCAGTGGTCGAAAATCAATCATAATTAACTAAACATTCAGTAAGACTATAGACATAGTTTTTGCGTGAAAGAGTAACAAACATACTCACAAACTTTCGCGTTTATAATATTACTAGCTTTTGCCCGCGGCCTCGCTCGCGTTAATTTATCCTCTCAGTGGTGAAATTGATCAAAATCCTAGTCCAAGCTACTATAGCTTTCTTTTTTTTTGTTTTTTAATTCTTTTTAAATTTAGGGACTTTTGTACCATCTAAGTACATGTCAGTCCCATTGTACCCTAAAACCAATCACTCCATTACCTCACCAGTGAACAAATTGCCTTAGCAGCACCGCCCGAAGGATCGGCTAAAACAGTTTGTATGGCACCAACATCTAATATATTTATTTCATGGTCTGACGTTATTCCATGTCGTAGACTCTCGTTCCTGACACACTCCATCAGCAAATGATAAACATCCTCTATTGTACCACAAACTTCACAATTTTGTGAATTGCTTTTTTTCATCAGGTATGCAAACTTTGCCGATGGATAATGTCCAGAACGGAGTCTATGCATTTTTACAATGTAAGAACGTGTGCCCTTCACATAATTGCACCAAGGCACCCGGGGCTTTCTTATAGTGAGAATTATAAAATAAATTTGAAATATCTTCCCGCAGTAATGGATGCTGTCAATTAAACAATCAGAACACTGAAAACAACTGCGCCGTAGAAAGCGTGATGTTCTGTGTCCACGAAACCTTTTATTGCATCAGAACTGACACAGGCAACTTCAGGTGAATATTTCATGGCATTTTCTTTTTCTATCTGCGATCAGCTCTTCTAACTATAATCAGATTTTTTGATGTTATGGGCATTTGGAGATGAGGCACTTCCAGTAAGGTGCCATCTCAGTTATTTTCTTCATTTTCATTTCATTTAGATAGAATTGTTTTATAGAAAAACTTTAAATCCATAGCACTTACAATATTATCTGATTACACTAATAATGAGTGCGTAGCGATTTCTATGTTGATTATCGCATGCCTCTTATTTGTTATACTGTAATCTATAATATATAAAGCTGCATTACGGTGACTCACTCACTGATTGACATAGTTGTTCTCCCAGAAGCAGTGCCGGGGGGTCGTGACGATGTATGGGGGAAATGTTCCTTTGGCTAGGGTGACCACGAGAAAATTCCGAAATTTGGGAAAATCCAAGATGGCGGACAAAGATGGCGGCTAACTTTTACAGTTTCGCTCGGATCGATTCCGTTCAAAGAGTGATTTGGCACGTCTCGGCGGGACCCAGAATATGGCGTAAAAACAAAAAATTAAAATCCAAGATGGCGGCGAAAAAATTGCCAAAAACTGGTTGAAAATTTTCTACAGTTTCAAAAACCGAAATTCCCAGGGTAGTTGCGGGGGTGCTGGCGACTCCGGTTGTGGGGCATAGGAAACTCGAAGGACCCGACCTCTAGGGAAAATTATGAAATTTGGAAAATCCAAGATGGCCGCCGAGTTGGGGGCGTGTGAAATTGGTCCTAAAAATCCGGATTATTTTCAAAGTCATTTTTTAGGTACAGGGCAACCCCGCAGCGAGTCGGCTTCTATGGGGCGATGATGGGTCTCGGTAAGAAGTATTGCCAGCGCTAAAAAGAATTCCCGAATTTGGGGTAATTTGGGAGAAATGGTCCAAAAAGTGGGAAAAATTTTTTTCGACATTTTTGACAAAAGAGGCATCAAGCCCTATCGAGAAACATCCCCTAAAGGGTTTTAGATGTGTTTTGTTGGAATTTGCTGGCAACACCCATACATGGTTTGACCAAAATAGAAATTGGGGTGTCTCTCCAAAAACTGAAATTCCTAGGGTACTTGCGGGGATACTACCGATCCCTATTGTAGGCCATTGGGAGGCTGAAAAACCCGGCCTCTAGGGAAAATTATGAAATTTCAGAAATCCAAGATGGCGGCCAAGCTATGGGAGATTTAGTTTTTGGAAAAATTTTGGGATATTTTCAATCGCGTTTTTGCTGCTCATGGCAACCCCGTAGCTAAACGCCACCTACTGACATGGGTAAGTCTCAGTAAGAAGATTTGCCAGGGCTAAAAATTTTCCCCGATTTTGGGTTAAATTTGGAGAAAAGTCCCATAAAGTGGGAAAAATTTTTTTCGACATTTCAAATGAAAAAGTCTTGTTGGTCTACCAAAAATCGTCCCCTGAAGGGTTTTAGGGGAATTTTGTCAGAATTCGCTGGCAACACCCATACATCATGGGACAAATATTGAAATTGAGGTCTAGCTTTAAAAACTGAAATTGATAGGGTACCTACGAGTGTGCTAGGTCAACGCACTGTGCGGCGTCGGATAGCCGAAGGACCCGGCATCTAGTGAAAATTATGATATTTTAGAAATCCAAGATGGCGGCACAGATAGGGGAGTTTTGCTTTTCGGATAAAATTTGGGACATTTTTAAATGTTGTTTTAGGACACATGGCAACACCGCAGCGAGTCGACTTCTACGGAGAGATGATGTCTATTGACACAAAGTATTACCTGGTATGAAAATTTTCCCCGATTTTGGGGTATTTTTTGAGACAGGTCCTAAAAAGTGGAAAAATTTTTTTTCGACATTTCAAACTAAAGAATGATGAAAATCTGTCAAAAGTCATCCCCTTAAGGATTTTTGGTGGTTTTTGTCAAAATTATCTGGCAACACCTCAGATCAGTTTTCTTAGGGAATAGTACAAGAAGAAGTCACCGAGGCTCTACATAATGTATGGACGAAATGTTTCTGTTACTAAGGTGAATACGTCAAAAGTATTAAGAAGTAAAAATCCAAAATGGCGGCAGAGATAGGGGAGTTTTGCTTTTCGGAGAAAATTTGGGATATTTTTAAATGTAGTTTTAGGACACTTGCCAACCCCACAGCCAGTCGACTTCTATGGAGAGATGATGTGTCTCAATACAAAGTATTACCTGGTATAAAAATTTTCCCCAATTTTAGGGTAATTTTTGAGATAAGTCCTAAAAAGTGGGACAATAATTTTCGGACATTTCAAACAAAAGAATGATGAAAATCTGTCAAAAACAATCCCCCTATTGATTTTAGGTGGTTTTTGTCAGAATTATCTGGCAACACCTTACATCAGTTTTCTTAGAGAATAGTACTAGAAGGAGTCACTGAGGCTCTATACAATGTATGAACGAAATGTTTCTGTCACTAGGGTGAATACGTCAAAAGTATTAAAAAGTAAAAATCTAAGATGGCGGCCGAGTTAGGGTACTTAATTTATGTTGACATTTTTAGGGACTTTTAAAAATTCAATTTTGGGGTACCACTAAACGTTGCAGCGAGTTGACTTCTATAGAGCAATGGAAATTCTCGGTGGGAAATATTACCTGGTCCAAAAAATTTTCCCGATTTTGGGGTAATTTCGAAGAAAAGTAAAAAAACGTGGAATTTTTTTTCGTCAATTTGAACAAAACAGTGATAAGCATTGGTCCAAAATTATCCCTCAAAGGGCCCTAGGTGGTTTTTGTCAAAATCTCCTGGCAACACCATACATCGATTTTCATAATAAACCGTACTAAGGAACTCTTAGGTGTATGTAACCTGGGCTCTGTACAATATATGGATGAAATGTTTCTATCACCAGTGTATATGTTAAAAGTATTTAAAAATAAAAAATCCAAGATGGCGGCCGAATTAGGATACTTTATCTATGATGACAATTTTAAGAACTTTTTAAAATTCAGTTCTGTGGCATCATCCCTGCAACGAATTGACTTGTATTGAGGAATGGAAACTCTCGGTGCGAAGTATTAACTAATTTTCATAGTAAACAGTACTAAGGAACTACTAGGAGTCACCTTAGCTCTGTACAATGTATGGACAAAATGTTTCAATCGCCAAAGTGGATAAGTTAAAAGTATTCAAAAAGGAAAAATCCAAGATGGCGGCCGAGTTCGAGTATTTTATCTCTGATGATAAATTTAGGAATACATTTTGGGGTACCTGGCTTCCCTGCAGCGAGTCGGCCTTTATTGAGCCATGGTAGATTTCGGTTTGAAATATTATCTAGGCTACAAATTTTCCCCGATTTTTAGGTAATTTTGCAAACCCAAAATGTGGGAATTTTTTGTTTCGACATTCTAACATAAGAGTGACGGGGATCTATAATAAATCTCATCTTAATAGTTTCATGCGATTTTTTTGTAAAATTAGGTGGCAACACTAAGCATACATTTCTGTATACTAATACAGAAAGGTAGGTAATGTGAGGTTTTGTATTGTGACCATTGCAATAAAAATTAAAGCCACAGAATAATATAGTAAACAAAAAGGTAGGTTAGGTTAGGTTTCGTATTATGATCTCTACATTAAAAACTTTGACCCTAGACTAATATAGTATACAGAACGGTAGGTTAGGTTAGGTTTTGTATTGTGACCATTACAATACAAAGTTTCGCCACAGGATGGTACACGTGAAACAAAAATTCACTGTTACAATAGGAAGTCACCTAATCGTATCAAAACAGACAACTCTACTTGCCAACCAAGTCTATTCGAAAAGAAAACCGTCTGCACAAAAAAAATCAACGACAACGCCTCGCGGGCCTCTTGAGGCCCGCGCACACACGCACCCTCTAGTCTATAATATATAAAGCTGCATTACGGTGACTCACTCACTGATTGACATAGTTGTTCTCCCAGAAGCAGTGCCGGGGGGTCGTGACGATGTATGGGGGAAATGTTCCTTTGGCTAGGGTGACCACGAGAAAATTCCGAAATTTGGGAAAATCCAAGATGGCGGACAAAGATGGCGGCTAACTTTTACAGTTTCGCTCGGATCGATTCCGTTCAAAGAGTGATTTGGCACGTCTCGGCGGGACCCAGAATATGGCGTAAAAACAAAAAATTAAAATCCAAGATGGCGGCGAAAAAATTGCCAAAAACTGGTTGAAAATTTTCTACAGTTTCAAAAACCGAAATTCCCAGGGTAGTTGCGGGGGTGCTGGCGAGTCCGGTTGTGGGGCATAGGAAACTCGAAGGACCCGACCTCTAGGGAAAATTATGAAATTTGGAAAATCCAAGATGGCCGCCGAGTTGGGGGCGTGTGAAATTGGTCCTAAAAATCCGGATTATTTTCAAAGTCATTTTTTAGGTACAGGGCAACCCCGCAGCGAGTCGGCTTCTATGGGGCGATGATGGGTCTCGGTAAGAAGTATTGCCAGCGCTAAAAAGAATTCCCGAATTTGGGGTAATTTGGGAGAAATGGTCCAAAAAGTGGGAAAAATTTTTTTCGACATTTTTGACAAAAGAGGCATCAAGGCCTATCGAGAAACATCCCCTAAAGGGTTTTAGGTGGGTTTTGTTGGAATTTGCTGGCAACACCCATACATGGTTTGACCAAAATAGAAATTGGGGTGTCTCTCCAAAAACTGAAATTCCTAGGGTACTTGCGGGGATACTACCGATCCCTATTGTAGGGCAGTGGGAGGCTGAAAGACCCGGCCTCTAGGGAAAATTATGAAACTTCAGAAATCCAAGATGGCGGCCAAGCTATGGGAGATTTAGTTTTTGGAAAAATTTTGGGATATTTTCAATCGCGTTTTTGCTGCACATGGCAACCCCGTAACTAAACGCCACCTACTGACATGGGTAAGTCTCAGTAAGAAGATTTGCCAGGGCTAAAAATTTTCCCCGATTTTGGGTTAAATTTGGAGAAAAGTCCCATAAAGTGGGAAAAATTTTTTTCGACATTTTAAATGAAAAAGTCTTGTTGGTCTAC